GAACTCATCACCCACTCTATAGCCCAGATCTAGAACTCATCACCCACTCTATAGCCCAGACCCAGAACTCATCACCCACTCTATAGCACAGACCCAGAACTCATCACCCACTCTATAGCCCAGACCCAGAACTCATCACCCACTCTATAGCACAGACCCAGAACTCATCACCCACTCTATAGCACAGACCTATAACTCATCACCCACTCTATAGCCCAGATCTAGAACTCATCACCCACTCTATAGCCCAGATCTAGAACTCATCACCCACTCTATAGCCCAGACCCAGAACTCATCACCCACTCTATAGCCCAGACCCAGAACTCATCACCCACTCTATAGCCCAGACCCAGAACTCATCACCCACTCTATAGCCCAGATCTAGAACTCATCACCCACTCTATAGCCCAGACCTAGAACTCATCACCCACTCTATAGCCCAGACCCAGAACTCATCACCCACTCTATAGCTCAGACCCAGAACTCATCACCCACTCTATAGCCCAGATCTAGAACTCATCACCCACTCTATAGCCCAGACCCAGAACTCATCACCCACTCTATAGCACAGACCCAGAACTCATCACCCACTCTATAGCACAGACCTAGAACTCATCACCCACTCTATAGCCCAGACCCAGAACTCATCACCCACTCTATAGCTCAGACCCAGAACTCATCACCCACTCTATAGCCCAGATCTAGAACTCATCACCCACTCTATAGCCCAGACCCAGAACTCATCACCCACTCTATAGCACAGACCCAGAACTCATCACCCACTCTATAGCCCAGATCTAGAACTCATCACCCACTCTATAGCCCAGACCCAGAACTCATCACCCACTCTATAGCACAGACCCAGAACTCATCACCCACTCTATAGCCCAGACCCAGAACTCATCACCCACTCTATAGCACAGACCCAGAACTCATCACCCACTCTATAGCACAGACCTATAACTCATCACCCACTCTATAGCCCAGATCTAGAACTCATCACCCACTCTATAGCCCAGATCTAGAACTCATCACCCACTCTATAGCCCAGACCCAGAACTCATCACCCACTCTATAGCCCAGACCCAGAACTCATCACCCACTCTATAGCCCAGACCCAGAACTCATCACCCACTCTATAGCCCAGATCTAGAACTCATCACCCACTCTATAGCCCAGACCTAGAACTCATCACCCACTCTATAGCCCAGACCCAGAACTCATCACCCACTCTATAGCTCAGACCCAGAACTCATCACCCACTCTATAGCCCAGATCTAGAACTCATCACCCACTCTATAGCCCAGACCCAGAACTCATCACCCACTCTATAGCACAGACCCAGAACTCATCACCCACTCTATAGCACAGACCCAGAACTCATCACCCACTCTATAGCCCAGACCCAGAACTCATCACCCACTCTATAGCCCAGATCTAGAACTCATCACCCACTCTATAGCCCAGACCTAGAACTCATCACCCACTCTATAGCCCAGACCCAGAACTCATCACCCACTCTATAGCTCAGACCCAGAACTCATCACCCACTCTATAGCCCAGATCTAGAACTCATCACCCACTCTATAGCCCAGACCCAGAACTCATCACCCACTCTATAGCACAGACCCAGAACTCATCACCCACTCTATAGCCCAGACCCAGAACTCATCACCCACTCTATAGCACAGACCCAGAACTCATCACCCACTCTATAGCACAGACCCAGAACTCATCACCCACTCTATAGCCCAGACCCAGAACTCATCACCCACTCTATAGCTCAGACCCAGAACTCATCACCCACTCTATAGCCCAGACCCAGAACTCATCACCCACTCTATAGCCCAGACCCAGAACTCATCACCCACTCTATAGCCCAGATCTAGAACTCATCACCCACTCTATAGCCCAGACCTAGAACTCATCACCCACTCTATAGCCCAGACCTAGAACTCATCACCCACTCTATAGCCCAGACCCAGAACTCATCACCCACTCTATAGCCCAGACCCAGAACTCATCACCCACTCTATAGCTCAGACCCAGAACTCATCACCCACTCTATAGCCCAGACCCAGAACTCATCACCCACTCTATAGCTCAGACCCAGAACTCATCACCCACTCTATAGCCCAGACCCAGAACTCATCACCCACTCTATAGCTCAGACCCAGAACTCATCACCCACTCTATAGCCCAGATCTAGAACTCATCACCCACTCTATAGCCCAGATCTAGAACTCATCACCCACTCTATAGCCCAGATCTGGCACTCATAGCACGATACTCGTGGGGGTCTCCATTTTTAGAACACGTAATCTTTTCGACGTGGCCGTTGTGTGATGTCGTTTTGATGCTCGCCCTGCCGTTTGATGCCCGGGGAGCTTATGTCGCTCTTTTATCTCCGGCCTGGGGAGGAGGAATAGGAGGGAGGGTGGGTGCCCCCCCCCACCCCCCGGTTTGAAATGTCACCATTTGAATAAAAACCTTGACTTCCACGGCGACGCTGGGAGCCAGCGGCATACTTCACCGGTGATGGGACCACCCCCCCCCAGCCTGCCCCCCCCTCCTCAAGAATCTAAGTGCGAGAATTGACCGTCACGCTTTTATGTTCACGCAGAGGCTCCAGAGACTCCCTTCAGTTAACGTGACCCCCAATTTATAATTCAATCCATTGTCATGATTTGTAGAGGCGGCGGGGGGGGGGGGTGGAGAGTCGGGGTGGGGGGCGGGGTCATGATTTGATTTGTAGATGGCTTGTTTGTGTTTGGTCTCTTCTTGTCGTGTCTCGTGTGTGCAGTCTGTCCCGTCTAAATCCCTTTTATCTCGACTCTGCGCAGCGTCTGCAGCGTGGCCTTGTATCAAACTTTAAACACGCTGGGCACGCTTTGAATTTGTCTGGTCGGGTCACTGGCGTCCGTGCCGAGAGGCCATCGCAGCGACTCGCTTCTCTTGAGGACCCCCGGTCCCATTAGGGCGATGGAACCCGTGGATAGCACTCTGTTCCTGGCACAGCCATTATGAATCGCCACCCACCCCACCCCCCCTCGAGCCATCCCTCTCTCCCACGGGACAGATAAATCCATCGCGTCGCGTCAGGACAACTTGACCTGGCCTCTTTCTCCTCTCTCGCCTCTCTCTCCTCTCTGTCCTGCATCTCCGCTCGCCTCTATCCGCCGCCGGTCCCGCCGTCACGAATCCTGCCGTCGCTTCCGCCGTTGCCGCACTCCGCTTTCATGGTGTCCGTGACCCGTTACCGCGGCGACCGGTGGGGGGGGGGGGGGGGTTGTTGCTAGGCGACGCGCGGCTTCCTCGGTAACGAGACGAAGCCCGCTGACTCTGGCTGACGTGGGAACCGCACTGCGCGGCGCTGTGAGAGGAGCGCCACCGCCCCCCCCCCCCCCCCGGCACCGGTTCATGGGGAACGGCGCGAGCGCGGTGGGCGACGCTCGCTCGCTAGCGGTGAACGTGGCCGATGATCGTTGTTGCCACGCCAGTTGTTTAAAATTATTCAAATTTTTTACTTTTTACTACTCCCCGTTGGTGATGAGCTACAGTGGGAGACGTGGAAATTTCCCGTTTGGAGCCGTTGCCAAGATTGGCGAGACGTCGCGTGGAGACTGAACTGTTGCATTCACCATATGAACCGTTAATAGGAACCAAATATATGATTTGGACCATATATATACAATACGGACCATCTAATTGTGTTGTCTCAGATAGGCAGGTGAAGGCGATCCGATTGGCTAACACATCTTTAAGAGTTGCTTCTTCTCAGGCCTTCGAAGGGAATTGTGTCGGTGATCGCCTCATCTCCATTCAAATGACTGGGATTCTGGTGGAAAACATTGCCACGAGGTGACAGATTATTTGGCGATGCTGTTGCTGGCATTGGCATTGGTGGACAAAACACTCGACACATTCGTCAGAGACAACACTGACCTTCGAAGGGACAAGTATATAGTGGGTGACGTTTCGGCCAATGGACCTTCTTCACGGCCGTCTGGAACACGCTTCCTTCCGATATTATGGAAGCCACTGGAGCTATGCACTTTTAAATCATCCATATTGAAAACTCGTTTCTTAAAAACTCCTTTTTTTGTTTAGTTCCTTGTCATTCCCCTCCCCCACCCCCCGTACCTCCGATTAGTGTACGGTTGGCGGCATACGGCGCGAAAGCTCAACATACATACGTAGAGATACTTACAAGAGATGCGGCCCCCAAGAAAGGGTGACGTCGTCTAGAGGAGACTGCGGACAAGACGTAGCGATAGGCCAGGGAAACCCCCGGAAAGGGGGGGGGGGGGGTCAGTGGAAAGGGAGGGGGGGTCAGTGGAAAGGGAGGGGGGGCTCGGGGCCCTTTTCGGCGGGATATGAAGTGAGGTCGTGTTCCGTGTGAGAGACCGAAACGAATAAAGAACTTTACACTCACCCGCTCTCTGACCAGCCATCTCACTACACGTACCGCACACAGACGAGGGGCCAGAGAGACAGAGCTCATGCCTCTGCGACCTCTGCATTGGCCGAAACAACACCTGCTGTATATATATACACATATATACACACAGTAGTTCCTCGCCTAACGCGTTTCCACACAATGCGTTTCCGCTAAGAACACGAATTCTTCGAATCGGGAACACTTGTCGCACAAACGCGGAACGCGCCCACGTTACAAGGCGCTCGCTGAGCGGGCGACGGCGGAACTACTTTTTGCTCGAGCCGCGCAGGCGAGCGGTGCGGGAATTCTGGGTACACGCGGCAACGTGGCGCAACGTCTCGGCACCTTGTCCTGCCGCCACCTTGCAGCGTGTGCGCAACATCACTTGCAGCGAGTGTTTTTTTTTCCGTGCGGGAACATCGTGCCGATGTCGTGCCGGTCGCGGTTCGTGCGGTCGTCGTGGTTATCGCGGCCGTCGCGAGCGTCGTGTCCGGCGGCAGTGGCGGCGCCTTGTGGTTGAGCCGCGTTCGTGTCGCGTTTGTGTCTCGGTGGTTGCCAGTACCCGGAGGAGCACGACACGGAGTCGCACATCTACAAGGAGCGCGAGTGGCGGTTCATGCGGAACGAGCGCGTGCGCTCTGACGCTCAACAGCTGCTCGGCAAAGGTGAGCACGGGCGCACGCGTGTGTGCGTGGTGCCCACGTGCACGAGATGCCCCGTTTAAAAATTAACGTCGGCGCCAGGTGGCTCGGAGGGCCCCGATAATGGCCCCGTCGTCACGGGAGCATTGAACCGGCGCTGCTCAGGGCGTGGGCTCAAATTCCAGCAGGGAGGAGGAGGTGGTGGTGGGAGAAGGTGGTGGAGGTGAGGGGGGGGGTGGTGGTGGTGAGGAGGGGGTGGTGGTGAGGAGGGGGTGGTGGTGAGGAGGGGGTGGTGAGGAGGGGGTGGTGGTGAGGAGGAGGGGTTGGTGGTGAGGAGGGGGGGTGGCGGTGAGGAGAGGGGGGTGGCAGTGAGTTGGTGGTGAGGAGGGGGTGGAGGTGAGAAAGGGATGGAGGTGAGGAGGGGGGTGGTGGTGAGAAGGGGGTGGGATTGGTGAGAAGGGAGGGGGAGGTAGCGGTGAGGAATGGGGGTGGTGGTGAGGAGGGGGGGGGTGGCAGTGAGGAGGGGGTGGGATTGGTGAGAAGGGAGGGATGTGGTGAGGAGGGAGGGATGTGGTGAGGAGGGGGTTTGGGTTGGCGGTGACATTTCAGGCAATGCCTCTTCATCAGAACACATGGTGACTTTCTATATGTGTTTTTCCTTTAAGGTGGCGTTGTTGTCGAGTGTGAGTTGTGTTTGTTCTTTGTGCTTTGTGCACCACTGCCAACACAGCAGCAGTATCACCAAATAATTGATTTACTCTGTCTTTGTCAGAGTGAATGGTCCATTATCAATTGCAACTTATCACAATTAATTGTAATGGTTAATTACCAGGTTTAATGACAAGGCTCAATTACATTGTAAACAAAATCGTGCACAGTTACAACTTCTCAATTATTATCACTTGGTTTTGCTGTGGCCATAGGAACGTGCATTTTACACCACCAGTTCAAGGCCTTAACAGGAGAGACGCTTGCATTTTGACCGATGATGATCGCCTGCCACGATCTAGCCGCTGCTGGATGGAGGCTTTCGCTTAGCCATCACTACCCGTCGTCATCGTTAAATTGTATTATTTCATTGAGCCGTCTGAATATGCACTTCTAATTGTCGTGTTTCAGACTCTATGCTTACCTCGTGTTAATGTACCGTTATATTTAACAGTTTTAGTTCACCATTGTAATTTACAATTGTAATTGACTATTACAATTCACCTGTTATAATCAACCCTTGTAATAAGCCATTGTAATCAATCATAAATTTACCATTTGTAATTGACTGATATAATTTCATCGTGATACTTAATTATTCTTAATGACTGTTACAATTAACCGTTGTAACTCATTATAATTGTTATAATGCACCATTATAGTTATATATTGTCAATTACGATACATCATGATAATTTACTGTTCGAATCTCACCGTTATAATTAACTGAATTAATGATTATACTTCACTGTTATGTACTGGACGCTAATTAATTGGCGGTTTGGTTCAGTAAGTTTTTGAGACGGCTGGCCAGGATTTGGCAAAAAACCTATCCCACATTTTACCCAGGAAAGTGTAGAGTCGCACAGACTTATCGTTTCTAACCTCACGTTTAAAACTAACAATAGCATTTAAGAATCACAGTTAAGAGACAAACAACATATCTAAAATTAAAAGATAGGAATTAAAATAAAAACATTTAAAAGCTTAGAATCTCATCAATGGGTCCCTATACTATATCCGGGGACGCTATTGTGCCAGTTCCCGACCAGGCGGCTATTATTGTTAATTAATTTAAAACATTGTGAGCACAAACTGAACGCCGCAAGTAAAATGTTTACAGCTTAAGAGCAGTAACTTGAACGCCATCGATCTACGGAAGGTATGATGCCAATGTTCATTGAATAAAATATTTTCTTTATAAACAGAGGAGAGAGAGTTCCTTTTGCGTGTGTGTTGCGTAACGTGCGACGCGCGTGTGTGTTGCGTAACGTGCGACGCGCGTGTGGATGTTGAACTTCTTTCGCACCGTACAAGGCATCGCACGGGTGGACGAGCAAATCTTCATCAACCGCAACCCCGGGGTCCCCGCCGTCGTCAAGTTCCACCCCTACGACCCCTACGTAGCCGTCGCCGACCGGGACAGCATCTGGTGAGTACCGTCGCGCTCGCTTTAACGGCCCTCGAACCATGATGGGCCGAGCCGAACCATGACCCGGACGTGAAACTCGGCGCGTCGGAATCTGTGAGTGGAGCGTTGCAATCTTCACGACGACGCAACCAGGCCCGAGAGCCTCATTCCCGACCTCCGGCTGCGATGCGAACCCGTGGCTCCCGTGGCCGTGTGAGGGCGAGCACTCGGCGCGCCACTGCGAGGCATGGGCATGGCAATCGATCAGCTCACACCCCCCCCCCCGTCACCCGACTGTGGGAAAAACTTGCAGCATCCGTCTTGCAAAAGCGTCTTGGGTGTCGGCGAGGCTCTCGTGCGAAAGTGACAGCCTTATTGTTGTTGTAATTGACGATTAACGAACGTGCAGTGCATACAGAAGTTCACGGACTCTGTAGCCCAGATCTAGAACTAAGGGCTACCCCACGCTCATTTGAATGGAAGGGATTTCGATTGAATAAGTTCAATAGAAAAGAACAGCAAGACAACAAATTGGGAACCCCTTTTATTGACGTACTTTTGGATAAAGGCCTGTCCAGGTTGGGCGGGGGGGGGGGGATGGGTCTATCCACTGCTGGATGGAGTCGTCCCGAATGCCCGGGGGCAGGAGGGCATGCGGTACAGAGATATATAATGAGTGACGTGTATTTCCCACTGAGTAAAGCTCGTCGTGCTAAGGAGTTATTTAACAAGGGAAACTCGGCCGGTAGACAAAATCAATTTTACAATTACAGATTTAAAAAAAAAACAAATTAAGTTACATTCACACTTAAACTTGTGTGATTTTAGCGATAGAGTCCGTTTAAATGGCAGAATGGAGATGGCCAAGAGACGAAACTGAGTGGGTTCCAAAACACTTTGGGGCAGCTACGTTTAAATGCCTCTTTGATCCAAAGTGTCTGCGAACTCTGGGGAACTGTGAATAGACAACGTGGACGGGCGTCGCTCATTATAAGCATTGTCCAATGGCAGTAACAGCAGATCAGACAAATTATTCTAAATGTAGAGGGGTAAACATTGTTATAATTGCTCACCAATTCAATGCACGAGTATTGACCCGAATTCATTTTAAATAGTGATTTTCTTCCCTTTAAATCCACTGCTCCCCGATCATTACCCCGACTGCGGTAGGGCAGTGAGCCCGCATGCCCCACACCCCCCCCCCCCCACCCCCGATTGATCCTTAATTTTGAGTTTGTTACACATTACCTTATTTCCCCCCCCCCCTCTTTTTGAAATATACTTTGTAGTCCGGGTTCTTGAATGACAATAAAAAAAAATGTATAGAAAAAAATACGTAAGAAAAATTACGATTTTCATAACGCTCCTAATTGGTCGATCGATTCCACTGCGACTGAAGTGGATGGGCTTTAATCGACGCGTGTCACCTGCTCGCGCTCTGATGTCTGAATCAGAGACACTCACGGAGGCAATTAAACAAGAGCTGAGAGGTTGCCAAAGAAGTCACGACGAGGTACGACGCTGCAAAGTGCGGCGATTGGACGGGAAGAGTAACACGCGGCTGATTTTTTTAACTGACTAAATCTCTCTGTCGTCCCGTTGCGTTTGCTGCCGCGTCTGCACCCGCGTCCCAAGTTTCTGGGACTGGGAGCGGCAGGAGAAGGTGGACTACTTCCACAACGGCAACCCCAAGCTGACGCGAATCACCGCGATGGAGTTCCTCAACGCACACGACGTGCCCCTGCTGCTCACGGCCGCCGGTGAGCGCACGCCCGTCCACGCCCGCGGGCGCCCGCGCTCGCGAACCTGCCGAACAGCGGCGTCGCCGTCACGCGCCGTGGTGGTTGTGGCTGATGGTCCCCAGTGTGCGCGAGTTGGCGGTGGCGGGCGTTGGGTTGGGTTTGGGAGGCAATCTGTCACTTGATTTTACTGCCCCCTATTGGCCGGTCGTGAAGTATGCCCGTGTTCACGGCACACTACACTAGGCCTCGGCAAGGTAAGGTAAAAGTGTAAAAACAACGAGCCTACCTTTACCCTACCTTTTACCTTACCACAATACAATCACTCTACCCTACCTTTTACCCTTTAGCAGGTAAGGTAAAAGGTAAAAAGCAACGAGCCTACGTTTTACCCCTTACCCCTTGGCATGTCGACACCTTTACCCTTTTACCCGGTAAAAAGGGTACAATTACCTTACCTTGCCAAGGCTTACACGACACACCTGTGGGTGTGTGCGTGCGCGAGTCTGTATCCACGTTTGTGTGTGTGCCTGTGTGTCTGTGGGGAGCGGTGGTGTAGCGGTTAGCGCGCCGCGCTACGAACCCGGCGACCCGAGTTCGATTCCCGTCACGGCCACCGACACCGGTGACGATTATCTGAACCGGTCTTGGACCTCCCCTAGGTCGACTCAGCCTCAAAGGAGTACCTGGTGCGGTGTGTAAACATCGCCACTAGGGAGACAAAGGCGGCCGGGCGTGGTGCTGGCCACCCACTGCCTCGTGTTTCCCATGCCGGCTTTTATTGGTGCTCGCTAACAGCACTTGCCCATTGGTCTGTTTTGGTTATAGGTGGGATCTTTGTCTGTGTTCACGTGTTGTGTATCTGTGTGTGTCCCCGTAGACGACGGCGCGATCCGCATCTGGAAGAACTGTGCCGAGGGCGAGCGCAACCCGGAGCTCATCTCTTCGTGGCAGGGCCTCTCCGACATGCTGCCCTCCACTCGCAGTGCACGCGGTACGGTGCCTGATGTGCCGCACGGCAGAGGTCGCAAACGGGTTTTGATTCCTTACCCGTACCCGGCCGCACCAGGGTCGCAAACGGGTACCCGTACCCGTACCCGGCCGTACCCGTACCCTACCTGTACCCGTCTGGGTACAGGTAGGGTACGGATATCGGGTACCTGATTGCGACCTCTGGGATGAAGCCATGTTGCAGGCGCGGGTGGGTTGATTTTAGGAACTTGAATTGTGAGAAGAGTCAAGACGTTGGGAAATGAGTGACAGTTACTCACCAGTGACTCACGCAATCGGGTACCCGTACCTGTACCCGGCCGCACCAGGGTCGAAAACGGGTACCCGTACATCGGGTAGGGTACGGGTAGCCGGGTATCGGGTAGGGTACGGGTATCGGGTACCCGGTTGCGACCTCTGCCGCATGGCACCCCACCGCCACACTCCACCAAACCACCGCCGCACGGCGTCGTTATACTATGTACATCAACCCATGCAGAGCATTCGAGATTGGAGTGGTGAGTATGGTACAGTAAACACGGTAACCTTTTACCGTGGGATATAAATTGTTCGTCCATTTGTTTATTTATTTTTGCCTATGTCCCCATAGTAAGCGGTTCTCCTCCGTGCTCTCTCGCTTTGTTTTGTCTTGCACGCAGGACTCGCGCGGAGACTCTCCATCTTTCTCGAGAAGAGTAACCAGGGAGGTGAGTGCCTCTGGGGGGTGAACAGGAAGTGGAGAGAGAGTGGACAGAGAGAGTGGACAGAGAGAATGGTGGAGAGTAAAGGGGGGGGGGGCAGAGAGGAGACGGCACGGAAACGTCTGTGACACTCGCGCCCTACGGCTGTGAAAGCACCCCGGTTCGAATCCCGACTCGGGCGCCTCTCTCTCTCCCCCTCTTCTGCGTGGGTTTTCCTCCGATAACTATTACTGACCCGCAGATTACTCGTTTAGGATTCCACGCAGCAGCAGCAGCAGCATCGCCGCCTAACAGCGTAAACTCTGGCAGGACCCTCCTCAATTACAATTAATTACCTAATAGTAATAATAATTATGTTATTTAGATCGAGAGAGAGAAGTGTGGAATGAATGTGAACGTAGAATGGGAGTGCGAGATCGGCGAGGGAGGGGTGAATTTCTATACCCCCCCCTGTTAGAGGCCGAAGGCTTTGCCTTTATACGTTTGGCCTCGCTGCTGTGTGTGTGATGGCTGTGTTTGTGTAACCGCTGTTTGTGTGTAACCTGCACGTGCGTGTGCAGGTGCGGGCCTGGTGCTGGACTGGGAGCAGGCCACTGGGCTGCTCGTCGTGTCGGGCGACGTGCGCATCATGCGCGTGTGGGACACTGAGCGGGAGATGAAAGTGCAGGTCCGCCCCTACGAGACCCCCTCCCCGACCCCCAAGGGGCCCCCCACGAGCCCCTCCCTCCACCTATGAGACCCCCACGAGACCCCCATGCGTCCCCCTGCCTGCGCACTCCCCCAACAACCCCACCACCCCCCCACTTGCAAAGTCCCTTCCATTCGCACAAACACACGCGGGTGGGGAGACACGGCACCTTTACTGTTTAAAGCCAGTGCCTGTGTGTACGTGTGCACGTGTGTGTGTGTACAGGTGTGTGTGTGTACAGGTGTGTGTGTGTACAGGTGTGTGTGTGTACAGGTGTGTGTGTGTACGTGTGCACGTGTGTGTGTGTACAGGTGTGTGTGTGTACGTGTGCACGTGTGTGTGTGTACAGGTGTGTGTGTGTACGTGTGCACGTGTGTGTGTGTACAGGTGTGTGTGTGTACAGGTGTGTGTGTGTACAGGTGTGTGTGTGTGTACAGGTGTGTGTGTGTACAGGTGTGTGTGTGTACAGGTGTGTGTGTACAGGTGTGTGTGTGTGTACAGGTGTGTGTGTGTACAGGTGTGTGTGTGTGTTCAGGTGTGTGCCTGTGTGTACAGGTGTGTGTGTGTACAGGTGTGTGTGTGTGTACAGGTGTGTGTGTGTGTACAGGTGTGTGTGTGTACAGGTGTGTGTGTGTGTTCAGGTGTGTGCCTGTGTGTACGTGTGCACGTGTGTGTGTGTACAGGTGTGTGTGTGTGCAGGTGTGTGTGTGTACAGGTGTGTGTGTGTGTGTTCAGATGTGTGTGTGTACAGGTGTGTGAGTGTGTGTACAGGTGTGTGAGTGTGTGTACACGTGTGCACGTGTACAGGTGTGTGTGTGTGTACAGGTGTGTGTGTGTGTGTTCAGGTGTGTGCCTGTGTGTACAGGTGTGCGCGTGTGTGTACAGGTGTGTGAGTGTGTGTACAGGTGTGCACGTGTGTGTGTGTGTGTGTACATGTGTGTGCGCGTGTGTGTACAGGTGTGTGTACAGGTGTGTGTGTACATGTGTGCGTGTGTGTGTACAGGTGTGTGTACAGGTGTGCGTACAGGTGTGCGTGTATGTGTACAGGTGTGCGTGTATGTGTACAGGTGTATGTACAGGTGTGCACGTGTGTGTGTACAGGTGTGTGCGTGTATGTTGGGAAGGGTCATGCAGTGGTCGTTGCATTGCACTTCGAAACCCGGCGATTCGAGTTCAATTCCCACTCGCAGCCAACATCGGCGACGAATATCTAAACCGGTCCTGGGCCTCCCCCTTGTTCGACTCGGCCTTAAATGAGTACCTGTGCGGTGTCTAAACATCACCGCCGGGGAGACAAAGGCAGCCAGGCATGGTGTTGTCCACACCACCACCCTCTTAGTGTGTGTCATGCCAACCTTCATAGGTGCTCGCTAGCAGCGCTAGCAGGAATGTATGTTGAACTTCCTTGGCACCGTATGTAGCCAACCGTGCTCATCGGACTCGTTGAAGGCCACACGTCGGGGACCTCTGTGTGTGTCTGCGCGTGTTCACGCTCGCGTCCCTCCGCCCAGGACATCCCGACGGGCGCGGACAGCTGCGTGACGAGCCTGTCGTGCGACTCGGCACTGCTCGTCGCGGGTCTGGGCGACGGCTCGGTGCGCCTCTTCGACCGCCGCATGTCTCCCCACGACTGGTGCGTGAGTGTGCGCGTTGGTGCTTTGGTGCGTGCGTGCGTGCGTCACAGCCCGCGTGCGTCTCACCGCGAGAACGAGAGCTCACTCTCCTGAGCTCTCGTTCTCTTTCCACGCACTCTCCTCTCTCTCCCCTCTCATGTCATTCTACTCCCATCCACATGTTCTCTCTCCCCTCTCATCTCACTCTACTCCCATCCACATGCTCTCTCTCCCCTCTCATCTCACTCTACTCCCATCCACATGCTCTCTCTCCCCTCTCATCTCACTCTACTCCTATCCACGCACTCTCCTCTCTCTCCCCTCTCATCTCACTCTACTCCCATCCACATGCTCTCTCTCCCCTCTCATCTCACTCTACTCCCATCCACGCACTCTCCTTTCTCCCCTCTCATCTCACTCTACTCCCATCCACATGCTCTCTCTCCCCTCTCATCTCACTCTACTCCCATCCACGCACTCTCCTTTCTCCCCTCTCATCTCACTCTACTCCCATCCACATGCTCTCTCTCCCCTCTCATCTCACCATATTCCCCTCCACGCACCCTCCTCTCTCTCCCCTCTAATCTCACCATACCCCCCCTCCACGCGCTCTCCTACCTCTTATCTCATTCTTATTTCATCCACGCAATCCCCTACCTCTCCCCTCTCCCTCGACTCCCCTTCACAAACCTCTTTCATCTCTCATCTCACTCCGCTCCCCGCCACGCACTTTCCACTCCAACAGACAAATGCTTTCGGGCAACCTCCACTCAGTGGGAGGTCGCTCATTCTCTTCTGCTGCCCCCGAAATCTGGAACTCCCTTCCCCCATTGGTCCGTGCCATCGACTCCCCCGCCTCTGTTCCAATCAAGGCTCAGGACCTTCCTTCATTCCTCTGCCTCTGATTGATCCCCCTTCCCCCCTCCCCCCCTTCCTCCCCTCCCTCCCAACTCCTCTCTCTGTCCAGCCGGGTCCAGACCTTCCGTGAGCACGAAGCCTGGGTGCTCAAGGCCTACCTGCAGCGAATCCCCGACGGCAAGATCATCAGCGCCAGGTAGCCACCATCAATCGTCAGATTCATCATCATTGTGATGCTGATCAATACTCTCATCATTCTTATCCTCACCATCAATATTATCAACTGCAACATTGACGTCATCAGCATCACAATTGTCACTTTTCTCATTGTCGTTTATATCGTCAACCGCAATTGTCGGCACTGTCGTCCTCACTCACGAAGCGTGCGTCTTCACACTCGTAGGTAAGAGCAGTCCACGTGTGTTGGGAGAAACGACCGCTCTTGACCTCCCTGCCCCACTGCCACTCCGCTCTCCTCCCCTTGCTCTCCACCCCGCGCCCCCTCCCGCCCCCGTGCACACGGTGACCGCGTGCCGGACGCAGCGTGGACGGGGACATCCGGCAGTGGGACGTGCGTCTGCCCGAGTCTCTGAGCTGCACCACCATGAGCAAGGGCCTCACCGCGATGGACATTCACCCGCAGGCCGACATCTTCGCATGGTGAGCGCTGGTGCTGGCGGTGCCGGTGGTGGCGCGGTGGTGGTGGTGGTGGCGGTGGTGGTGGCCATGACGGCGGTGGCGGCGATGCAGTAGTTAGCGCGCCGCGCTACCTACTCGGCGACACAGTTCGATTCCAGCTCACGGCCAACATCGGAGATGAATATCTTAGCTGCTCCTCAGTGTCCCCCTAGGTCGAATGGGCCTCAAGCGAGTAACTGGTACGGTGTGTACACTTCACCACTGGGGAGGCAAATTGGCCGGGCGTGATGCTGGCCACGCCAACACAATCGCGTGCTGTATGTTTGTTGAAATTATTTTGCACCGTACGTAGCCAACCGTGCTAATCGGTCGTGTGCTGCGTCGGCCTTCATAGGTGCTCGCCAACAACATTTTCCCCAACAGTCTGGTGAGGCTGTACAGGGGGCAGGGGTGGCGGGAAGGGGAGGGGGATCTTTGTCTTTGGTGTTTGTGCAGCCCCCGTAATAAATCCCTCCGTGCATTGCCTTTTACCGATAGCACTAATCAATCGCCTTTGCCGTGGTTGTGCTCGCGTGTGGTCGACCAGTGGCTCCATGAACCAGCTGATTTCCGTGTACAACATGAGCGGGGAGACGCTCAACAGCATCAAGTACTACGACGGCTTCATGGGCCAGCGCATCGGAGCCGTCAGCTGCCTGGCGTTCCACCCGTCCTGGGTACGGTGCTCTGTCTCGCTCGATGAACCGCACGCTGCATCCGCTCATTGAACTATTGACACATTGAGCCGCACACTGAATCGGAAGCCAAGTCACACCCCGAGCCGCTCGCTGAACAGCACATTGAGCCGCACGCTGAACCAGCGACACATTGAGCCGCACGCTGAACTAACGACGCATTGAGCCGCAATGCACCGAACGCGTTAACGTAGACGTAGTAACGGGTGCGGCACCCATCATGTCACTAGAGGTCACTGTCGCAGCGCTGTTAGGAATCGCATGACCCTGGCGTTCAGTTGAACAGAAGCTTTCGCGTGCGCGTCGGTCAGCCCGGGGGACACGCACGGCTCCGGTCCATTACCGGCCACGACTCTCGACAAGAAGAGCCACTTGCTTTGTTGGGAGAGGAACGGGGCGGGGGGCGGGGGGGCGGGGGGCGGGGGGCGGGGGACGGGGTTGCGACTTCCATTCTAAACAAATTTGACTCTCCACACCCTCTGCCGCCTCATCCTCCGCTCCCCCCCTCCCCCCACCGGCCCCTGTCCCTCTCAGCCTCACCTGGCGGCCGGGAGCAGCGACTGCTACCTGTCCATCTACTCGTCCGAGAAGAAGGTGACCCGATAGGCGGGCGGGGGACGTCTCTCGAGCGGGAGCACGGCAACGGGGGGGGGGGGGGACCTCCAGAAACTTGGAGGGGAACTTTTAACCCCCCAACCCCCAGAACACGACCGTCTCTTGAGCCCCGCGACCTTCGGTCGAGACACCGATGCTGTAAATGATCGTTGCTGCCATTGTTTTTTTTATTAGTACTACTGCTACGACTACTACAACAACAACGACGACAGATATCGCTCGTCGGAGTTGTGTGGAGCTGTAACGGTGGCTGTTTTTCGCCTCTCAAGATGCAAGGAGGAGGAGGGGGCGTCGTCTCTCGATAGTTTGTCACCCGAGGGAGTGGGATCGTTGGCTCGCTGGCCTCCCCACACCTCTGCTGAAGCCCCCCCCCCTTCCTCTGCCCCCCTTCGTAGTGGGGAAGGCGGGGGGGGGGGGAGCACCCGTCGTAGGGGAACTCTCCACGGGGGTTCGTTGCTGTCCCCACCCCGTCGGTTATCATCGTCGTCCTTTTTGTCATCGTCGTTAGGAAAAATATATATTTTGCGAGGTTTTCATTCTGCCCTGCTATGCAGCAAACAAAAAAACGGCAATGAATGCATCGCAAACGACAAAACGAATAGATTTTCTTTTTTATTTTACACGCGAGAGGGGAGACCCCGGCGCGGGTATCCGTCGTTTGCGAATTTGCGGAGAGCGTTCGGGGGAAACGCACGGCGTGGCGCGGTTATGGCGGAGTCTCACATCCTTCGTCGCTGGGTTTCCAAAAACACAAGTGCTGCTGCCGCCCCCTCTATGCTCCCCCCCCTTCCCCCCACCGCACTGACCAGCGTGGTGAAGTACGGTCGGATAACCCTAACCCCCCCACCCCCCGTCACTTCTGCACGACCCGCACGGATAGGGGAGGCCCTGATCCAGCAGCGGGCGTGACTAGAGGCAATTACGTGTACATACGGATACAAAACATGTCGTTCGTTCTCGTTTCACTACGTTGCCAGCGCATTTATTTCGGAAAACATTTATAAGGATATGTAATTATTCATCCCGGTCTGGAGCGGGCCGTAATTTTTGTTTGAAAGCAGGTATATATTTTTTGTTGTTGCCCATCTTGCTTTTCCAAACGCCATTTTGTTTTGCTCGAATAAACGACATTTACTCGAGCAATACCACCAAAGTGGTAAGCCGGCGTGTTTGTCTCTGTCATCTGCGTGTCACTCTCTCTCTCAACGCTCTCTCCCTCGAGAGAGCGAGAGAGTCGGGAAACACAGGGAGAGGAACGGCGGTGCAGCTGAGCCGTGCTACGTGCTCGGCACAGCAGCAAGTCGTCCGAAGGGGTGGCAGCTTTGGGTGTGGGAGTGAGAGCGAGAGATGGGAAGAGAGAAAGAGGACGGGGAGAGAGAAAGAGGGATGGGGGAGATTGAAAGAAGGGCGAGGAGAGAGAAAGAGGCATGGGGGAGAGAGAGAGAGAGGTGCGGGGAGAGAGAGGGACAGGAAAGAGAGAGAGCGAGACGTGCGGTGAGAGGAGCTGTGCACCCAGAAACGCTTAACCAACAACCATCGAAACGATAAACAGCGGTGACAACTCCCCAAACAGGGAGCGGCCACCGCTCGACAACGATCGTGGCTTCATCTCCCACTGAATATTGTTCTGGGTCCCCCTGGTTGGCTGGAGTAGGTGAGCGACGTGGCTCGCAAGTAGCCCACAGCCGTAGCGAAGAGGTAACACTGGATGCGGTACGAGTTGTGCACAGGACGATGTCGTGGTGCATGCCGGCTTACACTTTTGCAAAAAATAACAGTAACTTGCCATCTCTTTGTTAACTCGTGAAACTACTGTTCCGCCCACGTGGGCACGGCACGACGTTCACAACGCTGGAGCCTCGGGGAGAAGGGGGAGGGGGCAGCGATGAGATCACCGTGCAGAGAGAGAGAGAAAAAAAACCCAAAAACAAATCCCCTACTTGACCAGACGAGAACGGTGCTCGGTTGCTAGGCAGCAGTCCTCTCGAGTGAGTGCAGGTGCGGCCCTGAGAGCCTGAGGGGCGGTGATGGTTACCCACGTGCCCCAGCGGTGTGTGTGTGCCGTTACCCACGTGACCTGGCTGTGTGTGTGTGTGTGCCGTTACCCACGTGACCTGGCCGTGTGTGTGTGTGTGTGCAGCAGGTAGCGCGCTGCACTACGAACCCGGCGACCCGAATTCAATTTCCGCTCACGATCAATAACAGTGGCACATATTTGAAATGGTCCTTCGCCTCCCCTAGGTCGACTCAGCCTCGACTGAGTACCTGGTGTGGTGTGTAAATATCGCCACCGGGGAGACAAAGGCGGCCGGGCGTGGTGCTGGCTACTCACCCTCTCATGTACCATGCCGGCCTTCATAGGTGCTCGCTAACAGCACTTGCCCCAAGAGTCAGTTTAGGCTATACGGAGGATCTTTGTATGTACCTGTGCATTTGCATCTGCGCTTGTGAATAATCAAAGCTTGTGTGAAAACTGGGCGGCAGTTGCGTGACGATTTGTGCTCTGCACAACGAACCCAGAAAACCTGAGTTCAATTCCCAGCCGTGGGTAACGTCCGTCACGAATGGGGACTGAGATAATCGCTGGGCCACCCCTCCTCCACCTGACTGGGCCTCGAATGAGTAGCTGGTGTGGTCCGTAGACATCACTATGGGGGGTTGGGGGGAAGTGGCCGGGCGTGGTGCTGGGCACAAAACCACCTTGTGCGCTATTTCTGGCATTACTAATAGGTGCTTGCCAACAAAACTTGACCCAACAGTCTATGTGGCTACGCGGGTGGATGTTTGTCTTTGTATATTTGTTTGTTTCTTTGCGTGGTTTTATGTGCGTACGTGCGCATCTTACGTGCATGTGCGTGCTGGTTGTGTATTTACGAATGTGTGCCTACCCTTCGTGTGTGTGTACCCCGAACCCTAGGGAGCGGTGGCGCAGCGGATAGCGCCGCCGATCTATTAACCCGGCGACCCGAGTTTGATTCCCGCTCACGGCCAACACCCAGTGACGATTATCTGAACCGGTCCTGGGCCTCCCCTAGGTCAACTCAACCTCAAATGAGTATCTGGTGCGGTGTATTAAACATCGTCACTTCGTGTACCGTGCCGGCCTTCATAGGTGCTACTCGCGAACGGCACTTGCCCCAACAGTCTGTTCAGGCTACACGGGGGACATTTGTCTTTGTACCCCACTACAGTGGTGGTGCCATTTCCAGTGCTGCCATTCAAACTTCGGCCAATCACAATTGAGTGGTCCGAACCAATCGGCCAATCACGGGTGAACACTCTTCATCGTCAGCCAATCGCGAGTGGGAAACCCTCACGACTGCACGTGGCTTTCTCTCTGATTTTTATTCCTGGGCCATTGGTCATAAGCCAGTGAAGGACATTCCTTGTTCCCATGACAGGGCCTAGGAATATTCTTAAAATAAAACCACCGTTCTCTTGGGTGCGTCCGCCAAATGGTGTAGCGTCGCGCGGTGCATTACTATTTGTTTTTATCGGGCCTGGAACGATGATGATGATGGCATGATGATGAGAATGATGATGATCGTGACGACGATGATGATTATGTGACCCATGTTAATTTAAACTGAGCTGTAACCCAAACTTTTAACGGGACCGGCTCACAGGTTCACGCTACAGTGCCATAGCTTCGATTTTTCTTTCTGCTCCCCCTGCTGCCCCCCCCCCCCCCCCCACCGATTGTATAGTGAATTTAGTAATTTATTTTTTTGCTCAATTTTTTTGTCAAATTTCCTTTTTTAAACAGATTACCCTTTTCCGATGCGACACGAGGGATTATCGTAATGTATGAGCGATAAAATTCAAAGGAAAACAACAAAAAAAGCATATTTATTTCTCGGAATGAATTTTCAATGGATTTGGTTAATCGCAGACTCTCCGTTTAAGTCTCTGACCACCAATCAGCCAAACAACGGCCCCTCGAAAAGCTTATTTCCGCACAAACGGCCACTTGGGTCGTGGTGGTCAGAAACACGACAGTCCTGAGACGTTGGAAATTCCACATTCCTATGCCCAGGACCCCCGTTGACCATGAATTGAACACAACAGCGGTCATTTGCTGACGAGTTGTTGCCTCGTCGAGATGGTATCTGTTTCGCTGACCCCAAAGGGACAATAATATGTAATGATTATATATAATGATGATTATGATCAATTATATTTGAATTGAACTCTTGACTTATAACCAGGGTTTGTATTGCTTACCCAACTTGAGGGGCATCGCAGCCAAAATACGCACGCGCGCGCACACGCTGTGAAACACACTACACTCACTCACACGCACGCGCACTCGCAAACACATTCGCACACGACCAAACACGCGCGAAGTTACCACGTCTTGAAACGAGCAGGTAACGCTATATTTTTCACGTTTACAGCTCGCAGAATGTGTCCTCTAAATGCAGGAAGAATAATTTGCCGCCCTTCCCGTGGGAGTTGGAACGCGCGCGCGCGTCGGTGCGGGTGGCCGCGCCGATATTACGGTTTGATTTCTTTGTTTAAAATACTGAAATAAATTCACACAAAACAACAAAAGAAAACCCCCAGACCTCGTGCGTGCACGCACGTTTCTCGAGTGGCGACTCAATTGTGTGCCGGAACCACCGTGGAAATGAAAAGGGTCAGACCTGTCGTAATGAAAATAAGGGGTCGTGCTTTTGTGAGCTTGAGAGGGTGGGGGGAGGGAACACCTGTGGCCTTCAACTATTTAAAGTACACACTTTAAAAATAACGAGGAGGCTTTCAGTGTTATGATTCATAAACGAGTCTATTTTGGTTTAAATTAGCGTCGTCGGTTGTTACGCCAATGTTGTCCTGTAGCCCTCCACCACCCGGCGACAGAGCCAATCGAATTACGGTGTCACGTGACTGGCAAATATGCCAATTGATGCGGGTTCATTGGCAATACCAGAGGAGTGTTGAGAAGCGAGGAATTGAACCCAAAAGAAAACACGAAGCCTTCTGCTCATAAAAAAAAACCATTGACATTGTAGTTTCCCCCACATAATGAGTTAAAAAAAGCCTCTTCGGATTTGTTTTTACTTTATTCAGCAAAGCCTCGCTGAGTCTCAAGACTAAGGAGGATCTTGGTTGGGGGTCCCAATCAAGTGAATTACGAGTAATCTTTTAAACTTGAGTAAATTTGTACCATGAGGCCTGCTAATCGCGGCGCCCCCCTCTTCGAACAACATCGCGTAGGTTCTAGAACGTCATCTGTGAAGCAGGCGGCGCTCGTTCTGCGGTCAACGCGCCCGCAGTAATAAAGTAAAAATTTACCAGGGCGTCCTTCGGGATTCTAACCACGGGGGGGGGCCTCTGCAACAATGCACTCCCGCCGGGGCCATGTCACCGCCACCGTTTGCCTGAGAAATGTGGACACCCTTGCAAACGAGATGTTCCATCTGTTTGAAAAACATTTTTATTTTAAACTTTTTTGTTGTTTTACCACTTAAGGCCCACTAAGCTATGTAGTTCTTTTCCAGAAGCGAACTGGCCACAAATGAGAGCTCGACAAAGTGTCTTATTACCACGTGGGCATTTATAACAGCCAAATACTTTAAACGCATGTTTCAAAATTTGGAGGGAAAAACTGGAGAACCCTGAGAAAATCCACGCGATCACGGGGAGAACATGCAAACTCCAAATATACAGGCGTCAGGTTCGGGATCAAACCAACGACCTGCATTACAGGTGAGGTAGTTAACATCTCGCCACCGTGGCGCCCCAAGGGATGTTCCTCGGGTCACAATGAATAATACATCTAACGTGAAAAAAACCTTCATTGAACAGTAACATTTTGGCTGAAATGTAAACGTTGCCAGCTGACCAATAAGGTGTAGTTTCTATCGTCAAGACTCGCTAATGAGCAATAAAAAAGCCGAAGCCATTACAATTGTCTGGCGTTTGTGCACGGGTGCGTTGTTCATTTGAAGTTCCTTCTGACTGCTCAACATGGGGGGAAGACCCAAGGTCAGACGGCGGTGGTGATGACGCTGTAAGAGCAATTCTTGGAGGACGGTGTCAAAGTCTAACAAGGGGAAGGACCATAAACCCAGTCGCAGTATTGATACTGCGAGTGTGCTTGCTGGAAATATAACTTATTATCGGTACGCATGTTTTACCCGGGAAAGAGTGAGTCTCAAGACTCATTCAGCAGCGTTCTTTCAAGTTAGGAGGCGATGTTGCTGCTGTGTGCAATCTCAATTTAATAATTTTATGGTCGTTTTTCAGCATTGGGACGTTTTTTGCCGATACCAATTGCATGGTATGATTCATTGTTTCAGCTATGTATGTGTTGTCTAGCAAAGGGGAAGCCCATCAGCTGGGCAATGGTGGTGGTGTGCTATGAAGGAGGGGCATTGCCCGAAACGTCGACTATTATATATTGTTCCTTTTCAGGCAACTGTTATTAACAAACGTGTTTTTAAATAGTTTTTATTGTGCTTGTGCACCTCTGCCAACGCAGCAGCAGCATCCCCAGTCTGATTTTATGGTGGTGGTTAAGGTGGCAAGCAGATCTTGGAGGTCAGAAGGTCAAATCTAGCAACAGCTCGCAGAATCTTGGCACAAGGAAGGCAGTGATGGCGAGGGTGTGGTGGCGTGAACAGCGCTGCCCGTGACGTCCCCCCTCGTCGAAACTTACCGTTTTACTCCCAAGTGTAATTGCTGTGCACCACCACCCACGTAGTGGTGTATCTATACTCCTTTTGACAAACGCACGCAAGGCACGCAACAGACTCTGTCCTTATGACTAAGCACATAAAAACAAATCTTGTTTAAACGTGTACTCGTTGGCTCATGGCCGCATCTGTGGGCACTAAACCCAATGCTGCTTGCTGCACGTATTTGATTTTACAATTTTTTTAATTATTCCTGACTACTTGAAACAGAGAAGTTCAACTTCTGTAGGCCCCACTCCTTCCTCTTTATGCCCCGCCTCCTTTCTCCTTTGGCCCGCCCCTTCCTGCTCAAGCACCCCCCCTGCCTCTCATCCCACTCCATTGCCTCTCAGCTTTCCCTTTTAGACCACACCCCTTTCTGATTAGTCCACACCCCTTTCTGATTAGTCCACACCCCTTTCTGATTAGTCCACACCCCTTTCTGATTAGTCCACACCCCTTTCTGATTAGTCCACACCCCTTTCTGATTAGTTCACACCCCTTTCTGATTAGTCCACACCCCTTTCTGATTAGTCCACACCCCTTTCTGATTAGTCCACACCCCTTTCTGATTAGTCCACACCCCTTTCTGATTAGTCCACACCCCTTTCTGATTAGTCCACACCCCTTTCTGATTAGTCCACACCCCTTTCTGATTAGTCCACACCCCTTTCTGATTAGTCCACACCCCTTTCTGATTAGTCCACACCCCTTTCCCCCCACCGGACGCGGGGTTGGGCTGGTTTGAACAGCAGTGGCTTGTAGAAGTTTGTGGTAGGGAGGAAGAGATTTACAACAAAAATTCGTAAATCCATCTGTGCATCGCGCTCAACGCACTGCATTGGCCACCACCGCAGCACAGTATATAAGTTGCTAAATAAATAAACAGACAATACGCCCGACTGTCATATTTGCCCCTCCACTTAAAACGACAATAAACGTCTGTTTACACATCGCTTTGGCCAAATGCCAAGGCGATGTCGTCTCGCGTGAACGTGATGTCCTCAATATTATTCAACCACGAGGGAAGCGGTGCGAGATTCGTTATCTCAACGCAGCATATGCACATATTTGTTTAGATGTATCACGGGGGGGGGGTGCGAAAGTGGGGTTGGGGGGGGGTTCCTCCTGGTTGAGTTGGTGAAACTGGCAGAAATTCCAATGTGAGATGAAGTTGACGACGCAATGATTTCTATAAAATCGAGGGTGAGCGCACTTCGGTTGGAACCCGTGTGCCCTGCCGGGGAGCGGTGGCGCAGTGGTTAGCGCGCCGCCCTCTGCGAAACCGGCACGCCGAGTTCGATACCCGTTCGCGACCAATAACAGCGGCGGGGAATACCTGAACCGGTTTCATTTGGGCCTCCCCCTCGGGCGACTCGGCCTTAATTAAAACGAGTACCCGGTGCGTTGTGTAGACATCAGCACTTGGGGGGGGGAGACAAAGGTGTCCGGGCGTCGTGGTGCGCACAACACCCGCTCGTGTGCCGTTCCGGCCTTCATAGGTGCTCGCTAACAGCACTTGCCCCAACAGTCTGTCAGACTATACGGGGTATCTTTGTATTTTTGTCAACCAGGTGATACAGTCACGTACCGCTGCTTAGCAACGCACGCAACCAGTCTGTTAAGTTGAAAAATAAATAAGCAGACGTTACGCCTCCCCCTCCTATAGCTGTCAACATTCAAGTACACTTTGAACACGTCCAATCAGCTTCAGGGTGTGCCGAATTTGCATAATGCAGCATTGGCTCAACAAGAGCAAAACACTCTGGACCGGCAGCAACGTTCACCGTCTCATCAGCAGAGTCAGGCTTAGCTTGAACCAAAGTTGGTGAAACGTCAGGTTTCAATTTAAAGCTTTCGTGACTGCAGGGATTCATCTTCTTGGTTCTTTCGGTAAAGTCACGTAGAATTGTGAGAATTATATTATTGTATTATGTTTTATTTTTATTATTTTATTATTTCAATTCTACGTGACTTTACCGAAAGAACCAAGAAGAGAAACGTCAGGTGTTTAGAGGAAACGACTGGTTTCGGCATTCACCGTCTCATCAGCAGAGCCAGGCTTAGCTTGAACCAAAGTTGGTGAAACGACAGGTGTTTAGAGGAAACGACTGGTTTCGGCATTCACCGTCTCATCAGCAGAGTCAGGCTTAGATTGAACCAAAGTTGGTGAAACGTCAGATTTCGATGTAAAGCTTTCGTGACTGCAGGGATTCATCTTCTTGGTTCTTTCGGTAAAGTCACGTAGAATTGTGAGAATTATATTATTGTATTATGTTTTATTTTTATTATTTTATTATTTCAATTCTACGTGACTTTACCGAAAGAACCAAGAAGAGAAACGTCAGGTGTTTAGAGGAAATGACTGGTTTCGGCATTCACCGTCTCATCAGCAGAGCCAGGCTTAGCTTGAACCAAAGTTGGTGAAACGACAGGTGTTTAGAGGAAACGACTGGTTTCGGCATTCACCGTCTGATCAGCAGAGCCAGGCTTAGCTTGAACCAAAGTTGGTGAAACGTCAGGTGTTTAGAGGAAACGACTGGTTTCGGCATTCACCGTCTCATCAGCAGAGCCAGGCTTAGCTTGAACCAAAGTTGGTGAAACGTCAGGTGTTTAGAGGAAACGACTGGTTTCGGCATTCACCGTCTCATCAGCAGAGCCAGGCTTAGCTTGAACCAAAGTTGGTGAAACGTCAGGTGTTTAGAGGAAACGACTGGTTTCGGCATTCACCGTCTCATCAGCAGAGCCAGGCTTAGCTTGAACCAAAGTTGGCAAACTGCCAGATGTCGAAAGGCAAGGAATGCATTCTGTGAGACGTGGGTGCAAATTCAATGCCACGGTGGCGAAATGTTAACTACCTCGCCTGGTTTACAGAAGTCGTGGGTGTCCACCTGGACCCTGACGCCTGCTGTTTATTTAGAGTTTGCGTGTCTATCTCCCCCTCCTCCCCCCCTCCATGGTTGCGTGGAT